GCCAACACGGGCGCCCGTGTTGCCTGACACGGTCCGTGTTGCAGGAAGCGTTTTCTTCCCTATTTTTCTTGTATTTTTGACTCTTGTGATCCCCGAGGGTATTGTGGGTATTTCCCTAGTGATGAGTTTGAATTGAGACTATTTGATACGTGTTTGGAGAAAGAATAAGGATTGAACTTTTGAACGGAAAATAAATTGGACGAGAAAGATTGAAGCGATCAAAGATTTGGGAAACTGAAGGTCCTCATGAGCGGAAGCGATTGAAGATAAAGGCAACCAATTATCTTGTAATGTTTAGTCTTATTGTTGATTTTATCTTTATTATTATGAGTAGGTAAACCCCCAAATGATAGGGGGTGTCCCTGAATTGTCTCTGTAATAACCTTGTTTCCTTTGAATAATGGATTTCACTACTTTCTAATCATCGTTGTTATTGTATAATTTTCTTATGGCTTTTCTTATTTGACAAATAAGGATTTGTTTTACGGTTAACCTTAGGTTTGGAAAAACGATCGTTAACGCGTTTATATGATAATACTATAGTAGATATTGCCTAGGAATGGGGATACCTTATAGTAACCGTAATGTTTTAGATAAAATATATTGCTTGGGATTGTTCCTATACCGCCAAGGAATTGGGGCATAGGAAGAATACCAAAGGGTTTTCTACTAAGGAATTAGAGTCAACTAATCTTTAAAACCGGTAACGATTGAATTGAGTAGTGATTTCTAAAAAATAAGGATTAAGGTTATTACAAGGTTTTTTCATACACCCTACTCTAGCATGCTTCTCATAACTGTCTAAAACCGTTATTTTACTGCTTTTGCCTTTTGGCCTTTAAAATTGTAAGAAACAAACCAAAACCCCTATGACTTTTTGTTCAATTGTATTATTTTAGAACTTGTGTTCATACACAGTCCGCGAGATCGATATTCGGGGAATTTCCCCTTATTACTACATCGGTACAATTAGTACACTTGCTAATTTACCGGTCAACTAGTAATGGTCGCTACGTCGAAAAAAGTGGGAGTAATCATTCCATAAGATAGTTGAAATGTATTAATGCTACTTTCCTAAAACTATAAAGTTGCAACGAGCATGTTTTGAGAGGGACCAACATTCGACAACTGAATTAAACCATAAATCCCTCAATTCTTTTCCGGTTTGGCCCATTTTGGTTTCGATTTTATTCAACCAAAGATTATAATCCTCATTTATTTTGGGGGAAAGGGCGGAACGAAAGACACAAAGAGTGTCGATCATGTATTATAAATCAATAGGTTTTCTTAACAACATCCACTAAAGGGTCAGTCATTGGACCCATAAGTGCATGGACTTTACTGGAAATTGAATAAGGAATCAGTACCTAGAATTTGTAGATACAAAGTTTTTCCTCTTGATTTGGTGGTTACGGGATATACTCTTGATTTCCAGCAAGAATGACAGACTGCGGTCTGGTAGCCAGAGGCATAAAATCTTTAGACTCCTTTGAGTTTTTTTCCTTGGAAGTCATTGTTGCAGGTGATGAGCTTAATGTTTGAAGAAGATTTTTTGTGTAAAAGGTAGTGGAAAAGAGAAAAAGAAGTGAAAAATGAGTATTTATAATATGGGAGGAAAAACTCTTCAACTTTGCCTTTGACAAATGGTGCCACTTTTTGTATCATTTGCCATATTTTTAGAGGCGAAAGTGGAACGGTTTCGTGTATATAGCCACGTTGTCTTAAAAGAGTGGATCCATGATTAAAAGTTATGGGATTATGGAAGGCACACATTTTCAAGATGACGGTTGACAGAAAAGTCATGATGTCAATGACACCAGTCCATTAGGAAAAACAATGTTAGAGAAAGTAAAAAACACTCTTATCTTCTTTTAGTCGAAAGTGACATTTTTGGGGGCAATTTGTTAGTTAGGATTTTCAACGGAGTCAAATCTCAACGTAATGAGAACACTTAGAAAAGTTGGAAGTTTATGATGACATTTCGACATAAGCTGTTAGCTGAGGAAGTTGAAGTCTCAGATGTGAGATGTAATTTGAGACTTAGTATTTTTCTTAAAAGAGATTTTTCATCCAAGATTTCGACGGTAATATTGCCCAAGATTTCGACGTCAACAAGACATGTCGACAAGCAGTGTTATGCACACATAAGCATGTTCAAAATGAGTAACTACTTTTCAATCTTATCCAAAGGGGCACGTGGAAGTCATTACAAAGGCGAAAAACATGCAACAACTATGTGTTAATTGCTCAAGACAAGAACGTTGCAAGCAATTATTTTACATCAGTATAAATAAGAGTTCTAGTGTTAGGATTCAGGGTAGTGTGTTGAATTTACTACAAAAGAAACTCACGAACTCAAAGTACTAAGCGAAGCGTGAAACGAGTTTAACTGAGTGAAATATATGATTCCAAACACCATTTCATTTAAATGCAAAGTCTTTTACTTCAAGTTGTTTTCTTTGTAATTCTGCTTTTATTCTTTTGTTAATTTTCCTGTCACTTTAGATTATTTTTTTACAAAATTGTCACTTAGTTATAGTCGAATCCCTTTATCTTTCTAAACAATCTACCTTTTTAAATTATTTTTACTTGACCAATTCGACGTAGCCAAAATCCTTTACTTTCTAACACAAAATTCAAAAAAAATTTAAGCACTATGTCTAGATTATCTAAACAAATAACTTTCTAAAAAAGACTAGTGTTTGTTTACTAAATTTACCCGTAAACACGTCCTACGTCCTATTGATGTAATGAGTGATTATTTTACCTCATGTAAACCAAAGTGTCATATATATATATATATATATATATATATATATATATATATATATATATATATATATATATATATATATATATATATATATATATATATATATATATATATATATATATATATATATATATATATATATATATATATATATATATATATATATATATATATATATATATATATATATATATATATATATATATATATATATATATTGGATATTGAGTTTTGTTAAACTCAACTTTTGGCATTCTTACACCCTCCCAACTTCTTTTTCCAAAACCACTTCTCATTAATTAATTCAAACTCCTCTCACATGTGATCAAACCAATTACGTTGAGTCATATGACATTGCACAAATGGAACTTGAGAACAAGGTTCTTATTCTAGCTGATCTGTTGGCATACATTACATTACTTCACCTTTCACCTTACAATTTCGATTAACACTGTCAACTATTACTCCATTAATTCATAGGGAGAAGCGCAAGTTAAGATAAGTTCATTATTTCCACCAATGAACATTCTGAAAAACCCTTCCACTTCTATCAGAGCTAGAAGTAAAACCGCCACTCACTCTCTCTGGATTCCAAATTGCCCCCTCTATTTACTCAATTAATGTAACATTTAAGAATAAAACTATTCAAAATCAATTATAAAACCCTCCTTCCTTATTCAACATTCATTACCAACCTCACAGAAAAACAAGACTTATCCATGAAGACTTTTCAAAACCGTTTCAAGTCATTCATCCAAAAAGTAGTTGAAGCTCCAAAACACTTTTTTTTCTCAGCCAAAACAATAAAACAACTTCTAATCCTTGACCGATTTTACTTCAACACCAACAATGTCTGTGGTCACCATCTATTTCTTCTAGACATCAAAACAAAACATCTCAAAGAGCTTCATATTCCAAGAGTCACAAATTCTGACATGGGATATAAGATCATATCTTCATGCAATGGCTTACTTTGTATTGCTCATTATTCCTTAGACCAATACTCTACCCTTTTCCTTTGGAATCCAACCACAAAACAAGCCAAAAGAATCATTGAACAACAAAGACAACCTTTGCTTTTGCCGCCAAATTGTCTTATAGGCTTTTATGAAAGTAACGGTTTTTATGTAGTAAGGTTTCACTCTTTTGAAAACACTAAGACTAGTTATGTTATTCGAGGCGAAAAGTACTCGTTGAGTAAAGGGGTGTGGAGAGAAATAAAGGGTTGTGATCAAAATCTGATTTTGAAGGGAGATTTATTTTGGACTGAGAACACTGTGACAGTGAAGGAAACTTTGTTTTGGGTTGCTATGGAGGTGAATGAAAAGGTTAGTCATGAAATGATTATCGCTTTTAATTCATTTAACGATGTTATTAGCAAGATTGAAATGCCGTTTAATTCATCCAAGGATTGTGTTGAAGTTTATAAGAAACTTACAGTGTATAGTTATAAAGGTTCTTCTTCTGTGGCTTTGATGATTTGTTTAGAAAGTAAGAATATGGAACAGTGGTTAGATTTATGGGTTTTGTGCGATGAAGATGAAGATATTGAGTATTGGATTAAGGTACAAACTATAGGTTTGTTTTCGAGATTCGAGCGTCCTGTCGGTGTTTGGAAAAATGAAGTTCTTATGGCTACAAATGATATGATTCATAGTGTTGGTGGAGTTCTTGCTTATCTTCCAGATGATGATATTGGTGCTGAGTTTTATTATAACAGTTTGAATTATGAAGAGAGGTTTTTTCCTTTGAATGATATGCTGTAAATTGATCACATTGAAATGGAAGGATTTTTGGTGATATGATGCTAATTACGACACAACTGAGATATCCTGAATTCAAATCTGTGATGTTCTGTTTAAAAAATCATAAAGGACGGATCTGAGATCGTGTCATCTACTTGTAGTGAAGAATGCTCTCGAGATAGGTCTTAGACATTTATGTTTTATTATAATGTAGTTCATGTCGTTTTAAATGTATATGATCAATTTTAATTTAATGATCGATGTTGTTTATTGCAAAATTCTGATTAATATAACATCAATAATTTATACTACATTTACAAAATAGGTTCAATTATCATAAAAGTGCAAAACTAATTAAACAATTATAAGTGTTTCAAAATGATAAAATGAAGATTGAGCCTAACTAAAAAAAATGTTAAATCTCTATCAATTATGAAACTCATCATTTGTTTATGCCATATATGCATGAAAATGAACCTGAGTTAGGCTAAAAGCCAAAAGTTTCTATGAGTTTTAGTATTGAGAACATAGCCACCATTTTGTGCTTTTCTTTGAACTGCAACACAGGTACATGTTCCCGGTGTGTTATGGATCAAATACTCCGCCGTGTCTAACATTCTTGCTCCTTTCAATGATCCTCCTGTTGGCCGTTTATATCTGCGCATTTCAATTTAATTTCAAATATCAAATATATAATTCCTTCAAAAAAGGACTTTTATATATAGTAATGATATATATTCTTACCCTAGTAAAGTCGATGAAAGCGTGCGTTTTTGGCCTATAACTACGACATCAACCTCTTCGTTAATAGAATGTAAAAGAATTGTGTTAGCCCTATCTTTTCCATTATCAGTTTCCACCTTCATGACGCGAACCTTCATTTTAGGTTGAGAAACCTTACACACATTCTTCATTTCTTCAAGAAAATCAACCGAGGTGGTCTGTCCCTCTGTGGAAGATCCTCCACCTCCGCTTCCTCCTCCACCACCACTACCTCCTCCTCCTCCAATGTCAATGGACGCAGTCGACGATGTTCCCAACGAAGGCATTTTAAGGAACGTCGAAAGAGTATTGCGCCATGAAGTTTGATTCTCAATAACATGCAATAGAATCAATTCATCTTGTTCCATTACAGCATGACAAAGAGCATATTGAAGTGCTCCAGCTGATTCACGTGTTGGATCAGCCACCACCATAACCTTTCTTGATGTGTTTAGTGATAGTGGGTTCCTATTACTACCATTACCACTTGCCATTAATTAGTTATTACCATGCACCACCACGACAGAAATTAAATGGGAGTTTGTATGAAACAATGTTCATGTTTTTTGTGTAATATGATGATTGTTGAAGAGTGCAATATTTTCCATAACAGCTCATATAAATTGTTTGTTTAGGTTTTGTGATTCACAATTTTTGTTTTGTTTTTATATCCTTCTATGTTTAGGACTTAATGTGGGTTTCTATGCCATGTCCAAAACACTTTCCTTGAGACTCGGTCAAATAACACCCAAATTATACCTCTAATTGTGTTCATATGTCTCTCTAATTAATTACTATTTTAAATTTTATTTTATCTTGTAAGTATGTTATTATTTTTATTATTATTGTTATCATGCTTATTAAAATTTTATTAACAACTCGTGAATAAATTGATAAATGATTAATTTATACAAGTTTATTTTATTTGATATATATAAAACACATATTTATAAACTTTTTTTAATAGTTAATTGTGTAACCCTTCCCCATAAAACCACAGGTCTACAAAATGAAAGCATATGTTCTTCTAAAAATAAATGTTTTTTCCACCTTAAGAATAGATCCCTCACCCTACCCAGTGAAAAGTTAAAAATATCTTTAGAGTTCAAAAATGTAATTTTCCGGCGGCATCTCATTCATATTTTTTTAATCAGACTTTGGTTATGTAAATAAAAATACGGAAATGCATCTCAGTATAATTTAGAGAGATGCATTTCCATACGCTTTTTTAATCAAATACGCGTTATATTATCTTCTTCTTTTTTATTGTACGTTGTTGACAGTAATATATTTGTATCTTTTAGAGTTTGTGTATCATTTTCATAACACTCGTTCTACATCATTACTAATAATTTATATGTATTATTTTTAGACTTGGGTCCTCCAGCACTTCCCGTGCATGTACGATTGGTCATATATTCCGACATACACTTAAGATATGTCATGTGCTTTTGCATTCAGCCCGCTCAGAGAAAATCAGACGACAGAGCCCTAAAAGAGTGTATCTTGAATGCTTGAAAGCTGAAGATATATAGTTCCAAGCGTATACCAATCACCGTCAAACACGTCCCTTGGACGACATAGCCTTTTATTCTTGACGTTTGGCTTGCGGATCACGTCTAATGTATTCACATCTGCCTAGAGATGACAAAAAAATTCGTACCCGTGGACATCCGCGAATAAAATCTGTGACGGATATGAGACGGCTAGATAATGGATATCCACAAATAAAATAAGGAAAATTTACCCCATACCCCTACAATTATACCCATACCCCTACACTAAAATTTTTTGGACCAAAATACCCTCGTATGAAAAGTTATAATTTTTTGATTTGTTTACCGGAAGACTTTTTTGAAGTCTTCCGGTTCACATTTTTTTTGGTTTGTTTACCGGAAGACTTTTTGGAAGTCTTCCGGTTTACATTTTTTTTGGTTTGTTTACCGGAAGACTTTTTGGAAGTCTTCCGGTTCACATTTTTTTGGTTTGTTTACCGGAAGACTTTAAAGTCTTCCGGTTCATGTTTTTTTTTAATTTTTAATTTTTTTAATATTCAAATTACAAATATATTTATTCTATTTACTCTATTTTAATTAATTAATATATTTATTCTATTTACTCTATTTATTCTATTTATTTATTTAATAATAATTATTCCACTAATTTAATTTTTTTATTAATTTACTATATTTATTTACTTAATAATAACTACTTCACTAATTTGGTATTGTTTTTTTAATCAATAAAAATAAAAATTGTTAACTAATTTATATATTGATTGTGTTCTTTAAAGAAGAAAATTAACAATTTAATAATATGCTTATATGAAAAATAAAAATAAATATCATATTTAAATTATAATCCTATCATTTCTTCTATCAAAAAATTTCACCAAAAAATTATAATATATAACATTTATAATTATTTAAACAATATTTTATGGGGTAAAATATTAACTTTTAAAAATATATTTTATGGGGTAAAATATACTTTTAAAAATTTTCACCATAAAATATTAACTTTTAAAATTTGTAGGGGTAAAATATTTTATGGGGTAAAATATTAACATTTAAAATATTTTAAACTAATTAGATCAATCACATGCCCATATGAAATTCTTGAAGATGTCTCGGTAAAGTTAATATTTTAAACCCCCAAAATATTTATGATTTAATTAGTTTTTAATATTTTAAAAGTTAATATTTTATCCCATAAAATATTTTACCCCTACAAATTTTAAAAGTTAATATTTTATGGTGAAAATTTTTAAAAGTATATTTTACCCCATAAAATATATTTTTAAAAGTTAATATTTTACCCCATAAAATATTGTTTAAATAATTATAAATGTTATATATTATAATTTTTTGGTGAAAATTTTTGATAGAAGAAATGATAGGATTATAATTTAAATATGATATTTATTTTTATTTTTCATATAAACATATTATTAAATTGTTAATTTTCTTCTTTAAAGAACACAATCAATATATAAATTAGTTAACAACTTTTATTTTTATTGATTAAAAAAAACAATACCAAATTAGTGGAGTAATTATTATTAAGTAAATAAATATAATAAATTAATAAAAAATCAAATTAGTAGAATAATTATTATTAAATAAATAAATAGAATAAATAGAGTAAATAGAATAAATATATTAATTAACTAAAATAGAGTAAATAGAATAAATATATTAATTAACTAAAATAGAGTAAATAGAATAAATATATTTGTAATTTGAATATTAAAAAAAATTAAAAATTAAAAATTAAAAAAAATAAACATGAACCGGAAGACTTCCAAAAAGTCTTCCGGTAAACAAGGCAAAAAAATGTGAATCGGAAGACTTCCAAAAAGTCTTCCGGTAAACAAACCAAAAAAATGTGAACCGGAAGACTTCCAAAAAGTCTTCCGGTAAACAAACCAAAAAATTATAACTTTTTATACGAGGGTATTTTGGTCCAAAAATTTTTAGTGTAGGGGTATGTGTATAATTGTAGGGGTATGGGGTAAAATTTACATAAAATAAATGAATATTTAAATATCCGTTTGTTAAATATCTGCACGGCCCACCATCAATCACGGAACCCTCATCGCTTGAAATTCGCCAACGCCGCCATTTTGGCGCGTCTTGTCGCCATGATTCACCGTCGCGCGGCTACCTCCGTTGTCGCTGCTGAAGCTGCTCCCGGGTCACCGCCTCGCGGCGCGGCAAATGCTGCGCGGCTGTGATCGCCGTGATCACCGGTCACATCCTTTTCGGCGCGACTCGACCACCTTCGGAGCCGCCCGCCTCCGACGGTGCGACCGAAGATCCCCCCTGGCCGATTTTTTTATTTTTTTCTCGAAAGTTTGATTTAAAAATAAACGTTTTTTCCAGTTCGAAGTTTCTGCCAAAAAGTGACTTTTTTATAAAATAGCTTAAAAGTTGAATTTCTCTTAGTTTTGGGAAAAGTTCCAAAAAAACAGTCAACTCATAAAATATAGGGAAAACGGGTCAGAGTCCTTAATATACACATTTGGATAATCAAACGACCCAAACAGATTCGTTCTAATTTCCGGGGGCGAAGTCTCAACTCAACAGAAATCAAAACAACCAAGAAGTAGATAATCACAAATCATAATGCAAGGTTATCACATCCAACAATAACTTATAGAGACCTGGAGGGATTTATCAGATATCCCCTATAAGGGTCTCAGAGCAAACACATGAAAACAACAATCCAACATAATTCCAAAATAGTCAAGAAAACATGTAGCCCATTCATCACATAAAGGAAAAATAAGGGAAACTCATAACAACCCCCCAAGGCGTTGATAGGAGTGTAAGGAATCATCACTATCCCGCAAGCTTGAAATCACCCAAGCTTGAAATTCGCCAACGCCGCCATTTTGGCGCGTCTTGTCGCCATGATTCACCGTCGCGCGGCTACCTCCGTTGTCGCTGCTGAAGCTGCTCCCGGGTCACCGCCTCGCGGCGCGGCAAATGTTGCGCGGCTGTGATCGCCGTGATCACCGGTCACATCCTTTTCGGCGCGACTCGACCACCTTCGGAGCCGCCCGCCTCCGACGGTGCGACCGAAGATCCCCCCTGGCCGATTTTTTTATTTTTTTCTCGAAAGTTTGATTTAAAAATAAACGTTTTTTCCAGTTCGAAGTTTCTGCCAAAAAGTGACTTTTTTATAAAATAGCTTAAAAGTTGAATTTCTCTTAGTTTTGGGAAAAGTTCCAAAAAAACAGTCAACTCATAAAATATAGGGAAAACGGGTCAGAGTCCTTAATATACACATTTGGATAATCAAACGACCCAAACAGATTCGTTCTAATTTCCGGGGGCGAAGTCTCAACTCAACAGAAATCAAAACAACCAAGAAGCAGATAATCACAAATCATAATGCAAGGTTATCACATCCAACAATAACTTATAGAGACCTGGAGGGATTTATCAGATATCCCCTATAAGGGTCTCAGAGCAAACACATGAAAACAACAATCCAACATAATTCCAAAATAGTCAAGAAAACATGTAGCCCATTCATCACATAAAGGAAAAATAAGGGAAACTCATAACAACCCCCCAAGGCGTTGATAGGAGTGTAAGGAATCATCACTATCCCGCAAGCTTGAAATCACCCAAGTATAGACAATCTCCCCCCCCCCCCCCCCCCCCCCCCCCCCCCCCCCCCCCCCCGCCTTTACCTTGGATTTGTAGAACAATTGATTCCCTAGAGGCTCCTTGAATCCCTGCTCCCAAACCTTCATTTTCTCCTAGAATTCTCTCTGCTTTCTTTCACATAGTTTCATATTGGATTTCTAACCTAATTATTTCCCACTTTTTAGTATTTATATGGTCTTATTTTTCAAAATTATACTTTTTTCCCAATTAAATCCAAATCTCTCTCCTTCTACCTTTTACTCACCATTATTCACAACAACGCCCCATTCTCTTATTTTAATCAATTAAATAATTATATAAATCAAATAAATATT